CTAAGTATGAAAAATGAACGTTGCCAAATTAGATGCTTTCTGATCAAGGGGTGAAATGAGGGAGAGGTATCATTGTGTACAAGTTTTACATATTCTGATTACTGGATAATTCAACAGAAAAGTATTTCATTTTTTTTTGCTTCTTAGGTTATGCAGTCTGCTACTCAGGATTGTAATGCAACAGATGTTAATACTTTCATATCAAGGCCATCCTTGTTGAGATATGAACTATGGTGTATGACAGTGGGATGTATATAGTTTGATTTTTAATACTTCAATAGCCCAAATGAAAACAAGGATTTATTCATTTTTTAATAGTTATTATTTTATCATAAAAATAAAATACAAAACAGTAAAACAAACAAAATGAAACAAAACAAAAGCATACATTTAACCCTAACAGTGACCAAAAGAAATAGTGTGCACATAAAAGAGGAAAAGTGAACAATTAAATGTAACATTTAACATGTAGAATGCACCGTGGCTGCAATGAAAAGAAAAAGCAGTAAATTCTCCAGGTAGGTGGTAGGTTGGTAGGTAGGTAGAAGAAAGAAGAAAAATCAGTCAACAGATTGAGCCTAAACACTAATTTTGAAATTCCTCTGTTAACTATCTATTATTATATTTAGCACATAGAAAGTCCACAGTTTCAAGTCTCTTATAAAGCTATCTAGTTATTCATTTTGTGCATTGCTTGTAACAAGGACCAGATTAATATAGATCTATTCTAAAAGTCCATTTATTGAAATTAGATCTATCTTTGCAGAACTAAGAACTGACATCATTGGTTTTTGGTTGGTCATATCTCATCTAGAATATGGTGCTCAGCTCAGGGAACAACAGTTTTGGGAGGACACTGCTAAATTGGAATAAGTCCAAAGTAGAATAACCAAGCTAAGGAGTTTTGGAAAAAAAACTCACAAGGAACAGTTGGAGGCAATAGGCACATTTAAGTCTAAAGAAGAATAGACTCTCTGAAGATTTTATATCTGTCTCCAAGTGTGTGAAAAAATGTTATGTACAAGATGCAGAGAATTGTTCGTAGTTGTTTCAGAAAATGAAATAAGAAACAATGGTTAAAAAAACAAGAAAGTGGATTTCAGTTGGACATGAGACATGTTATGGTAATTTTGCTATTCAGCAGTGAAACAAAATTGATGATAGAGGTATTTTTCCAAACCAGTGCTGTCATTCAATGAATCTTTTGCATGTGAAAAAAACTGCATTATCTCAAAACCTCTTGAGTTCAGTTGTTTTCCTTTTCAAAGAAAACTATCCTATAAAAACTGAGTTTCAGATAGTGTTCACAAAGCTCAAGTCAAATAAACTCTTTCTGATATGATAGTATCCAGATATTAATACAAAAGAAATATAGAATTGTGGTATTCGCCTATTTATGAGATATTTTGTAGCGGCAAAGTATGCCCAATGTGTTTTAATGTTTTAAATGAAGGTAAGATAGGAAGTATTACTTTATTACAGTGTAGTCAGTGTAAGGTTGTCATACAAACCTATATAATAAGATAGGTTGGTCTACTTGGAGTATTCATAATACAAGATAAAACATTTAGAAAAGACAGAGGGCGAAAAGGAAGGTGTGGGGGAAAATGTGACCTTAGGGACTAAATCAATAAAAATGGAAAGATGGTTGGAATAGAAGGTTTGAATGAGGGATTTGAAGTAAGAGGAAAAAGCGATACAATTTCCATGGAAGAAATTTTAGGAATAAGGTACAGAAAGGGACAGTGAGCTGTCATATAGGAAGAAAATGTTAAAAATAGGGTAAAGTTGAAAAATAAAGATAACTTAAAAAGAAATCTTGTGCTTAATGGAAAACAGTAAAAGAGTTTGAAAAGTTTATGTGCCTAGATCTATATTTGAATTGTTGCTGCTATGAAATAGCGCAGTACTATTTGCAGAGATTTTCTGACAGAGGGGTGTGCGGGGGTGCCATTTGGGAGCCGCCAGAACAGCATTCCACCCTGTGTTAAAAAGTAAAAAAATGAGTGGTTTGGGTGAAGAAAAATCGGGGGCAGGGCAGGGAGAGAATCAAGTAACATTGTTGAAACTACATTTAGAGGCATGCACTGCTGTTGGAGTAGAGAGTAATGACAAAGAATGAAAAATGGGACTGAATGTTTTGGCATTAATTTCTATAAAGGAAAATTCATTTATAAAATAAAATATTTCACTTAATGTAGTATTCTGTGTCTTTTGCACATTTTTATCAGCTAGTATAAGAAAATGCACAGAAAACAACCATTGGCTAGAAACCTGTCTGAATTACAACTTTGAGCCAATTGTCCTTTTCTTTTAGCAATTTAAACTATTATGTATTATTTAGCAGTTTAAACTATTATGTATTATTTTCTTTTCTACCAATATTTAATAAGAATAAAATTTACGCCAAGGGACTAGAGGTAGCTGCTATTATTATCTTTAGTAGAATTTTTAAAAACCCAAATATTGGATCATGTTGGCATTACTGAATCTTTTAATTTTTCAGTGATTATTGTTGCAGGATTGTGTAAGATGAAAGAAACTAGGATAGATTAAAACACTTATTTGAAAGCTTTTTAATATATTATTTCATTTCTGCATATATTAAAAATACTATATTGTTCGATTTTGTCATGTTCACTGGTTCTTATGATTTAACTCCTTGAAAGCTATGAAGAAGTAATGAAAGAAATTACCTGTCTTAAACTGATAGATGCTTTCTATGAGCTACTTCTATTTTAGTGCCCTTTAAATTCAAACATGAGAAAATTGCAGAAATTTACAATTCAATGTGTGTTTCATCAGGGAGGAATTCACAGATTGTTTTGACACCCAGTTACAAATTCAGCATGAAGATGGACGTCTCATGAAATTTGCAGCTGCTGATTGAATTTATATTTCCATAAAGCCCATCAACAGTAGCAGCCTGAAGGGAAGTGTTGGGGGGAAATGACAAAAAATGTGAGGCTAGCATTTTTCTTCAGAGTTATAATGACAAATTACTTGTAATAAGGTCTTACACTGACCAGGATTAAACGAAAAATATAGGCAGCCAGAAGGGAGTTATTTCTTTCCTTCCCCCTCCCCCATTGATTTGAACTAAAACCATCTAGAGCTGATATCTAAATATATGTTTAGTCATCTGCAGGATATGCTAAATGCAGCCACAAATCAGAAATGTTCTCACCTTAGAAAAAAAAAGGAAGCATTTGCAGGTAATTATAGAGAATTTGTCATACAGATAATCTTATTTTATAGTAATGTCCTGCGTTTGAAGATGAATGTTATACTCACACAAAAGTAGGCCATCTTCATAGGAATCCCCCCCCCCCGTGCCCCCATCATCTGCCTTTTCTTTCCCTTTCAGTCTGAAATTGGTTTTCAGAGGGAAAAAGCTTATTTAAGCAGGGGAAAAGCTTGTTTAAAACCTGTAAACAAAAAAGAGATTACTTTGATGTTCTAATATTAATAAAGCAATTGGTAAATTAAAACAAATTGTACATATTTATTCATGCTTTGAAATATTAACATTTACAAACTCTTCCTATAGAGGAAAAGGGAAAATGTAAGTGTTCTTTAAGGTATTAAGCATTATTTTGGCTATAATATTGTAGTTATTAAGAGAAGGTCTTTTTGGGTTAGAAAAAGAAAAGCTAAAGAAGCAACTTCTAATCTTCTTTGCAGCAACTACAAACAAGCTTATTATCCCTCTTTAAGATTACATTACAAAGATCCCTTACGTCCTATATTCAACCCTTTTTTCAATCAGCAAATTCAGAAATTACAATTTCACTTTTTTCCAATTTCAGTAAAAGGCCCATAAAATATTTATTTATGTCTTTTATAAATATACTTATTGTTTTATCCCTGACCAGAGAGGTTTTGCCATTTCTGCTAATTCTGCCATCTTTACAATTCATTCCTCTATTATATAGCAAGGTTGTTCTCCAGCTTATTGCAATTACCATATAACAAATCAACCTTCCATGAATCACTTCTAATTGATTGTCCATAAGACCCAATAAATAAAAACTCTGGTTTCATCTTAATATTAATCTTTAAAATTAACTGGATTACCATGCGTATTTGTATCCTTTTAAAATAAAATCATAAATCCACTATGCATAGTAAAACATCCTCTTCATGTATTTCATGTGGTGCCGCTCATCATGTGTTGGATCACAAAGTGACAGGTTGCCATCTGAGAACTTCTACAGAAGGAAAAGTGGACTTTATCCAATTAATAAATATTGTGCTTAATTGATTAAATGAGCTAGAGTAGGCATTAATATATAGAATATTTGTTCTATTCTTATGCATCAAAGTATTTGTTATATACTTCCTTCCTTTTGATCCAATTGCATTTCCTCCAGATCCTCCAGATTCAACCTTTCATACAAATTTTGTTACAAATCTATGCTATATGTGCACTGCTTGAAATGTATTCGCAGTAAATGTAGCTGTTTTGAAGATGGGGTAATGATTTTCCCTTCTTGCTACTGTGATTAGCACCGACTGCCATGAATGAGATTTTCATGAACAGCTTTAATAATACCTTATTTTCTCACTGCCAAAGGACATTTTATTCATTTCATTTTCAATCTGTTCAGATTAGTTTGCAGTCTTGGTATTGGCTAGCCTGGACAATTCTGTGTCATCATAGTTTGATAAGCAGCCCATATGTTCTATTGTCTAGGTCGTTAATAAAAACATTAGACAAGTTCTTGTACATTGATTACCAAACAAACTATGAGTACAGAGAATTTTTTTACATAAAAATGCACTGAATACAAAATTTAATGAGTTTCAAAGCAGTTGAGAACCAAGGTACTATTGTATCATGTACAGCGTATATACATAATATATGAATATATGATTTCATACTACAATTCTCAAGTTATTGGAAACTTACCATAAAAGTATGTCTATATCAGTTACAGCACTGAGGAAAATATATGGAATCATTCTTAATAATCCACAATTTCTCCTTCTTGAAACAGGTCAGAACATTAAAGAGAGAAGAATTGTGAAAGCTGTCAGTCTAAAAGAATACCAGTATGAATCTGGAGCCATTCCAACAGAATGGGAAGGTAAGACTTTATTGGCATTGTTGGGGAAAAGCATGACTTACTGACCTCCACCTCTCCCAAGTTGTACAGAAAAGGCACAAGACAACATTTCTAGCCTCACCCTTACTAATGTAAGAATACAGTTTTGTCTTTCTTGACATTTTGTCTCTTCAGTTTGTCCAGGCATCATTTTCTCTTGTACAGTGATGTTCCATGTTAATAGATACAACCCCCCCACCGAAAATGAAACTTGCAGATAGGAATGAAACTTAGATATATAAACCTTGATTCAAAAATCAGTTTAAAAGTATTGACTTTAAAAAAAAACTGGGCAAGTTAATGTCTGAAAGTTGGATAGAAAAATGCAAGACTCAGCTAGCTCTGAGTGCATTTTGAAGTAAGAAAAGCAGTTTTGATCAAATGACACTTGACAAGTATGCATGAAAGCTAAATGCTTTTTAGATGATTTCCCCAAGATTTGGATAAGTTTGCACCTCTAAGATTCTTTTTTCTATTAAAAAAAGTTTTTTTTATAACAAACATGCAAACAAGACATAAAAACATAAAACCATCTTTCAATTATATACATACAGTGTGTCAGTTGGTTACAATCTTTTGTGCTGTCCTTTTTTTGCCATTACTCACAAGTTGTATAAATTCTCACCTTGTCAATCTAACATGTACTTATGTATTTATCAATCATTAATCATTCATTTGACTAAACTATTCCATCATTTTATGCACATCTAAAATTCTTATTATCTAGGAAATAAAACATGTGTGGCAAGATACACTTTTAGTTGCATTTGCTTTTTTAACACAACACTTAAGCATCCTTATAATCACTATAGCATTTTCTCCCCTTTGTGTTTATTGCGGCATTGAATTGAAAGGATTTGTGAAGAGCTTAGAAATAAAGTGTTACAAATAAGCTGTAGTCTCTTTTTTTTCTTTAAACATAGCTCCTTTTAGGAAATGTGGAGAAAACGTTCAGAGTACTTTGTTTTCTCATCTATTATTTAGGCAAAGAAGGTGTGCAATGTATTTTTGTTTGTGACAAAGAGAACAAGAGCACTCCAGGTGCTTAAACATGAAGAGCAACATTAACTGGATTTTTTTACTTAACATTTCAACTGCTAAATATTTCAGTTTAGAGACTGTGATAAAAAAAAACCACAGGCCACAGTTCGCTTTTTCTGTAAGAGAAGAAGTTTGGGTTTTAATGGCTGCAGCATTTACATAACTTTGTGTTCAAAACATTTCACTACATCAGTTCCAATTACGGAAAATATTTATTCCAGTTTTAAAAATTTATCCTGTATGAAGCTATGGGAATGTATCTTTTTCATGCTGTATTTTACAGTCTGTGTGTTCAAATTGTCCCTCTTTCCTTAATGGATAACATTTGGTGATTAATGGGAGTTTTAATTTGCATGCCCACTTTTACACTTATTACAATGCGCTATATGCCACTAGGAGTCTGAAAGTTCAATGAAAATCTCATGCATACTAATGAGAATGCAGATGAGCACTGAAATGAAAGAATGTCCAGTTTATCTTGCTTACATTCTGCTTAGAAAATGTGGTAGCATTATCATGAACACATGCTGCAGATAATGCTATACTATATTTATAATTAAAGACAACTGTTTAATTAGATGATTTGAACTACAATGGATTTACAAAACTGGAGGAACATGTTGCAGAATTGGACTCTGTCTATATGTTTCTACACTTTCTTTGTTCATTTTTGGTAGGAGGGTACTGTTCCACTTAGAAATTATTTTGGCTGCAATTCCATGAAAGTGCTTTGTTTTGTTAGGATAGAACTTGCAAAGTTTTTTTTTCTAAAAACAGATGACACATTGGCTATGTTTCAAAATTTGAAGAACAAGGGACAGTTCTAACTAACAATTACTAAAATTGGGTCTGCTTTTATTTCATCTTTTTTTTTTCTCAACTGAAGTACAGATTTCTTATGCAATTCACATACTGTAGCATAAATTCTTTGAGAATTACTAACTTCCAATAAAAGCATTGGATTTATTCGGGGGGGGGGGGGGGGAGAAGAGATTTATTATTTTAGTAGATTATATAGACTAACATCTTTCACAATCAGCACTATTGGAAGAGGTGAAGGAACAAGTTAAGGATAAACCATCATGGAGAAAATCTATCTAGGCGGTAGCTAGGAGTAAAAAATGACTTGATGACAGATAATCAATCAACAGTAGCCAAGTGTGAATATACCGAGTAGTATATATTGGGATACTATGTTTTTGAAGAATAAGGAAGTAAAGAAGTATCTGTGAGGTTGCTTCTTGTTATAATGAAATTAGATTATTATTCATTTTTAAGTTCATTTGTAGCTGATTATGAAAGATGTGTGAATTAATATCAGAGAAATCAACAGTAAAAATAGCCATCCATATTGGTCTGGTATTGAATCTAGTACAAAAACCTTTTATTTATGATTTCATTATCTCTTTTTATGCTGATAATCTTCAGTTTCACTGTCTCTTTCCCAGCAGAAATACAGTTCTTGCAGATAGAAAAGAAAATGGTGATCTGAACGATACAATATTTTTGTAGGAGGAGTTTATTGTGAATTATTTGCTTTCTTTTAAATAAGCTTCCAAGACATCTTATTGAGGTTGGCATTTTTAAGTCAGAACAAATTAAAATAATTTGGATGAATAAAATACATTTTAATATTTTTAAAAAAATGCATATTAATTTTTATTACCAGTTCTTCTGCTTCAGTGATTCAGTTCTGGTCTTTTAAAATAACATCATAACTTCTTAAGCAGATAATTGTCATTTTTCAGGATTGCTTTATATCCTGCTTTAAAAAAACAACTTAAAAACATAGGTTCCCAATATATTTACAACTGAATATTGTGGTTTAAAAAGTCTAGAATAGTGATGAAGTGTTGATTAGGATATTTATTAGTTCAGCTTATACTCAGTCTTTCAATTAAAGCAGCTTTATCTTTAATGCAAAAAATAGACAAATATTAAAGATGAAAATATCCAGCAAACAGAGATGTGCTATGTTCAGTTTCGGGGAGAGCAGAGATACTTTGGGTCTGGCATGGGCACTTCACGAGAAAGTCCAAATATTTTGAATTTTGTTCTACAAGAATACAAAATATTTGTTATATTCTGATAGGGCTAATTTATTGTGGGTTAAAGAAAATGTTTGTTTTTTTAATTTAGGATTTTATACTGTTGCTTCTGTGGCTGTTTTAAAATTAGGGCTAAATTCACTGATGATAATGAAAGTGGGTTATTTGTTGATTTAAAGAAACATTTTTGTATAAATTTACAACCATTCATTTCTTTTTTTTGTAGATAAAAGTTTTTTATTTTTAAACACAAACATACACATACAAAAACATAAAAACATAAAATCCTCTTCCGTTTTATATAACATTCATTTCTTTACCATTTGAAGATACAATAGCTTTGAAAATAATGACTTATGACTGGTCCTCGCATTTAGAACCAGCACAGGATCAAATTTCAGGCCCTTGATAACCTGCATGTATATATGAGAGTTGTTGCATTCTGGGGTCATGTGATTGTGCTGAGATGGTTGGCAAACAAACTTAATGATAATTTGTGACCTTTTCAGCCAGCTTCTAACAAGCAAAGTCAATGGAGGAAGCTGGATTTGCATGACAACGACATGATTTACTTATGACTCACTTAACAATCATGGCATAAGAGATTGTAAAATCAGCCACAACTCATCACTCACCTTGGAAACTCTCGTCCTAAGTCAAGGATTACTTGTAAAAGTTAAAAATAACGTAAATAACTTTAAAAATAGTTATATGGAAAGGTAGCTTATATTGTTGATGTACAGTAGGTATCAAAAGAAATATAACAATGGGAAATATTTGATATTTTTTGTTTTTAATTTTCTTAGCATGGATGAAGAAAAGAAGAAACAATCCACCTACACTTGAGGTAAGATGTGTTATTACATATACTGTATAGATTGTTTCAGCTTTATTTTTTATTATGTCCCAGGCTGAACTTCCAGCCTTTTCAGTCAAACTTTTGTCAATTACTGTCATCTCAGTGTGGTTGTTAATTTTTAATTGGCATAATAACAATAATTCCTTGGCCTCTATAGCTATCTCTGTCTCTTGAGGGCCTCTGAAAGGTCCTATACTACTTCTACCTATAATTTTGGGGTTGTTGTTTTTATTTTGCTGAATTTTCTCAGGTTCTTCTTCAAGACCCTTAAAGCGAGAAATTGCTGGAATAATTACGTGACATTTTTTTCCATCTTACAGCAACACTGCTCCTTCTTTACCAGATACATTTGTCCCAAAAAAGTTGGAGAAAGGCTGGAATATATAGGAAGTGTGTGTGTGTGTGTGTGTGTGTGTGTGTGTGTGACAGAGAGAAAGAGAGAGAGAGAGAGAGAGAGAGAGAATGTTCTTGAATTTACAGCATAAATGATCTTAAAATCTGAATCGTGAACCTAATCCAAAGAAATTACCTATTCCTTTCCCTGCCTCCTACTCTAAGACATGTGTAAATCTGTGTGGCAGTTCATTTGTATTTTGATATTATTATTAAGACATTTTTTTTCTAAAATGGCTGCCAGATAGATTGATTTGGTTTCTGTATTAGACAGCCTCTTGACAACACCTGCTGATACAGTAAATGCTCTTTGACAGCTGTTGAAGGGAGGGGTGCCTGTGACCATATTTCTTGTTCTATAGCAAATCTCCCTGCCCACACCTTTCACTGAGGCAAGTGACAAATTATCTTCCCCCAGTTCCCACTTTTTGGGAGATGGGCAAAGAATTTGAAATGTCAGTTATTGTATTTTATTGAGCCTTTATTCTATTGTCTCACTTACTGCCCAAACAGATTCATCCCCAAATCTTGCCATTATACTTATACTGTTTTCCTGGGAACATCACTGTATGAGCTGACAAAAAGAAATTCCATTTTTCCTGCTGTCTTCTTTCCTATCTTTGCAATGCTATATCTGCACCATGTAACCTGCACCATGTAATATGTTGGGCTTGTTGGTTGGAAAGCAGGCATCCCAGTTTCAAGACCTGAGTGCCAGGCAATGTTCTCACCCCAGCTCCTGCCAGCCTAGCAGTTGGAAAGCATGCAAATGCGAGTACCGTGTTTCTCATATAATAAGGCTGGGTTTTATTTATTTTTTTGAGCCCCCAAAAAACAGCTAGGCTGTCTTTTCAGGGGTGACTTAATTCCCCCCCCCTGCATCCTCGGGTGGGCGGGCGGTGACGGCTTGGATGTTGACCTCGGCATTGGTGGGGCACTTTGTATCAGGAGACCTTCCGCCACCGTTGCTTTCCCTTCTCACTGTGCTGCCGCGGCGTTTGGCACAGCCATGCGGCATTTGGCTCACCCACGTGGGGCCGGCCAGGGCTCCTCCCTGCAATGGGAGCCCAGCAGAGACACTTGGCTTCAGGTGCTCCTGTTGCCGCCTTTCCGGGCATCATTCGAAGGCAAAGCCCATTGTTTTAAAAACAATGCCCTACTTCCGGTATGACAAAGCCTCCCCTGCCTGAGAGGGCAGCCCAACCCCACGTGGGGAGATGAATCTCCCAGGGCTGAAGCGCAGGATCGTCCCACCCCAGGAGAAGTGCCCAGCTGCCATCCCTGCCTGGTGCTGGGCAGAGCGCGAAGAGCTTTGCCTGGGGCACCTAGCGGAGCTGGCAGGTGGGTGCTCCTGCCCCGCAGCAGAGCTCTGGCCAAGGCAGCAAGTGCCTCCCCACCAGGCCGTCCACTCATCCCGCCAGGGCCTCACCGGAGCTCGGCGGGCTGGGCAGAGCCGGGAAAATGAGCTGCAGGTGCGCACCCACCTGCCAAGTGAAAGAGCTGGGGCGACCCGAACTTGGCTTCCTTCCCAAGTCCCTCCAGCCCAACCCCGAAGGGTCCACCTGGAGAGGCGGCCTGAAGCAGTGAAAGTGCCCACCCATCTGTGGACAGGGAGGCAAGGTGATGGCCCGTGCCGTGTCCACTGAGTTGAGCCCCACTGAGTGAGTGCCTTTGCTCGATGCCCATGCCACTGCAGCGTTTGGAGCTACCAGCGCGTTTGGAGATGCGTGGGGACAGGGATGGGCTGGGTGAGGGGTAGAAAGGACAGGCGGCTTCAGGCTCTCTGCCGGACCTGCCGGCCAGGGAAGCAGTGCTGCCATCACCTCGCCTCCCTGACTGCGGACGGGTGGACGCTATCACTGCCTCAGGCAGATTCTCCCGTTGGCCCCTTCAGGGTCGGGCTGGAGGGACTTGGGAAGGAAGCCAAGCTCGGGTCAGCCCGGCTCTTTCGGTTGGCAGGCGGGTGCGCACCCGCGGCTCGCTTTCCTGGCTTTGCCCAGCCCGCCCAGTTCCAGCGCAGCCCTGGAGGATGAGCAGAGGGCCCGGTGGGGAAGCGCTTGCTGCCTTGGCCAGAGGTCCGCCGCCAGGCAGGAGGGCCCGTCTGTCAGCTGCACTGGGCGTCCCAGGCGAAGCTCTTCATGCTCTGCCCGGCGCCAGGCAAGGATGGCAGCTGGGCGCTTTTCCCAGGGTGGGTTGATCCTGTGCTACAGTCCCGGGAGATTCGCCTCCACATGTGGGGCTGGGCTGCCCTCTCGGGCAGGGGAGGCTTTGTCATACTGGTAGTAGGGCGTCATTTTTAAAAGAATGGGCTTTGCCTTCGAATGATGCCCGGGAAGGCGGCGACAGGAGCCCCTGAAGCTGAGTGTCTCCACTGGACTCCAGTTGCAGGGAGGAGCCCTGGCTGGCCACGCGTGGCTGCTCCAAACACTGTGGCATTGCTCTAAATGCCCCGGCAGCACGGGGAGAAGGGAAAGCGGAAGGTCTCCTGATACAAAGCGCCCCACCAATGCCAAGGTCAATGCAAGCAGCACCATATCTGGGTGTGCAACAAAAGTACTTCCTAACAGCAAGCCCCCGCCATTCCCCCCATTTTGCACGTTTTAATATAGGCCTTAATTTGGGGGGAGGGGCTTAATTTCATTTCATGCCTATAAAACATGCTGGGACTTCCTATTGGGGGAGGCCGTATTGTTGGAGAAACACAGTAGGTAAAAGGTATCATTTTGGTGGGAAGGGAACAGCCCTCTGCGATGTCAGTCTGGCCACATGAGCACAGAAATGTCTTTGCACAGTGCTGGCCCAATGGCCTTGAAATGGAGATAAGCACCTTCCCCTCTTGTCAGCAACAAATAGTGGAGTAAAATCCGCAAGAACTCCTTACCATGTAATCAGGCTAAGAAACAACAAAATAAAACCCTGTAAAAGTGGCAAAGGTTTTGAATGGGGGAAAGGATGGCGCCAAAATACATTAGAATCTCCCTCTTAATGGATGAGTATGGCTCCATTACAGCAAACTCCCAAATCTGGCATTCTTCAAGTTGCTTCATCATCAACATATTTTAAAATTCTTGGCTGTATGAAATTACATTTACTTACTAGCAAGCTGTAGATGCTTTCCTTGCACATTACACTAACAGTGACTTATACCCTAATCACTTCCTCATACTGCTGAATGCACTCAGCTCATCGGATGCTTCTGAAGACTACTGGAAACTGCAGTTGGTATGAATTGTTAGTGGGGATTACCTGCCAAGAGAATTTTACAACTGTGCTTTGAGCTCTGCATTACTTTCCAGTAGGTTTACAGGTATAATTCGAAATACTGGTCTATAAAATCCTATACAGCTTGATGCTAAGGTATCTACAGGATTGCCTTCACCTATTAGAAATAGCCTTTCTGGTAGGTTCTTACAAGCTTCTGGTTATTTTGTATGTTACTTTTGCAAGGGAAAGGAAAATGGAGATCGGGTGATGCGTTTTCTTTGTTGCTCCACCAGGAATAGGGAATAGCCTTTCCTTGCAATTAAAGCTCAAGCCTTTTCTGTTAATGTTTCAGAAATTACTTGAAATGCTATTGTTCTGTAAATATGTGGTGACTACTTGATTATCTACATCAGTGGTTCCCAAACTTTTTCAGTCCACCGCCCCCTTGGTGCTACAAACTCCTCCTCTGTGCCCCTCACCCAGGGGTGGGATTCAAATTTATGTGGGCGTGGCCTAATTTGAGGGTGTGGCTTGTTGGTCATGTGACTGGGTGGGCATGGCTTGCTGGTCATGTGACTGGCTGGTGTGATTTGCTGGCTGGGCACGGCTTGCTGGTCACATGACCGGGTAGGTGTGATTTGGTGGTCATGTGACTGGGTAGGCGTGGCCAGGTGACTGGCAAACAAGTGGTCCTCACTCAATAGCCGGTTGTTTAGCAAGTGTTCTAATTTATGACTGGCCTCCCTAGAAATACTTGACCTGTTTTGGAGTTTTGACAGCCATGCATGCACATACACACACACTCCCTTCTAACCCTTCTAACCCTGTTGGAGCAGGTCATTGGACTAGAATTGGCAAAGCATCTCTGATTAGATTCTAGTAGTGGATAAAATCTAATCAGAGATGCTTTGCTGATTCTTGTTGATTTGTTTTATTTGTATCTCTTTATTTTATGTTGCTGAATTGCATTAGACATGTGTGTCCCTTCTTGTGCACAACCCAGAAGCTTTTGTGATTCTTTGCAGCAAAAATTACTGACCTCTGGCTTTGCTCTTCTTTTCAAACATGCTGCCATTGCCGCGTTCTAGGTGCCACCACAGGTCCACCCCATTGAGCCCACTGCATTGGAGGGACCTGCCCAAGCAAGTCAAGTCAATGGGGTGAGCCTGAGAGAGGGAAAGAGAGAGAGAGAGAGAGAGAAAGAGAGAGAGAAGGAAGAAAAGAAAGAAAAGGGAAAGAAAGGAAAAGGGACAAAGAAAGAGGGGGGGATGGAAGGAAGGGACAGAAAGAAAAAGAAATAAAGAAGGAGGGAGGGAGGGAGGAGAAAGATAATGAGATATCTATTCTAGTCCAGTCACCTGCTCCAACAGGGTTAGAAGGGTGTGTGTGTG